AGAGAGAGAGACAGACACAGAGAGAGAGAGAGAGAGAGAGAGAGAGAGAGAGAGAGAGAGAGAGAGAGAGAGAGAGATTGTTAGCATATACTTACCCCACCCTCTCCGAAAAAGAGGGGAGCTGTAGGGTTTTCAGGAGGAGGAAGGGAGGTATCTTTGTCTCAAGGTCTCAATCATGAATATATCTCTTAAAGTCGTGTCAACCATAAATGTCACTCTTTTTGAAAGTCATCCCAGTTCTGTGATGTGGCTTTTTCGGCTCGTTTGGAATTTCGGGATTCGGTTCGTGGACTGCCACTTGCCAGCAATCACTATCTTCTCTCTCTCTCTCTCTCTCTCTCTCTCTCTCTCTCTCTCTCTCTCTCTCTCTCTCTCTCTCTCTCTTCCTTAGAGATGGTAGAGTTCTGACGAAGCAAAGGTCACCAAGCAGAAATTAATCATGGTGAAGGTCACCAAGCAGAAATTAATCATGGTGGACGATTTTGTGGTTTAATACACCCCGCTGTGACCCCGTTAGCCCGGATCTCTGTGACATGCACCTTTGTTTGTCAATATCTTTATTTTTGTTTTTTTTGTGTGTCTATCCAAGCATCTGCCGATTCGTTCGGATATCTGTCATATCCCACAAAAAAAAAAAAAAAAAAGAAGAAGAAGAAGAAGAAGAAGATATCTGTCATACCCTAGACTACCAAAGTGGCCCGGGGCCACTTGCCCGGCCGGGCCAAAAATAAAATTAAAAAAAAAAAAAAAAAAAAACCTTTATTTTTTATATATGGTAAAGAATCTCGATGTGACTCTGAGGCAAAAGTTGTTCAGTTTATTTTTCTACATAACATAGTTTGTTTTCGTATTTTTTTTATTTTTGTTTTTTGCTAAAACCTTCCCTGGTCCTTGCACGGCCGGGCCGTCCAGGAAAATAGGGTATGTTAACCCGGTCGGCCCGGCTGGTGCGGCTGCTGGTAGCTTAGGTCATACCACGTGGCCGGCACCTTCGTCTTTCTGGCAGAGAATCTCCGTCTGTCTCTCTACTTATCTTGCCTGTTTCTTTTTTCCTCTGCCAATCGTCCTTTTCTTTTTTTTTTTTTCTGGGAAACAGTTTGAACTTATATTATCTTTGGAAGATTGGAGAGCGGGGAATCCCTCACAAACAACCCGGTGTAAGTACTGGGGAGTCGGGACCATATTCCGCTGAAGCTCCTGGAGGGTCCAGTGTCCCGTAAATGTAAGATCCCCAAAATAGTAAAAAAGGAAGGATAGGACTTCTCCCCAAAATACCACCTCTCAAATTGAACAGAGGTTGTAGCCCTGAAAGAATGAAACTGCAGACGCCTGACTGTCTGTCTGACTGTCTGTTTGTCTTTATCTGTTTGTCTGTCTGTCTGTCAGCCCGTCACTGTCACAGTATTGCCACCAACTGGATCTGACGGTGGAGGGGGGTTTGAACCCTCACCCTTAACCTCGTCAAGAGCAGACGTGTGTGTCTGGCTATTGGTCTGTTTACTGTCATAATGTCTATCTGTCTGTCTCTGTCTGTTTGTCTGTCTGCCTGTGTCTGTTGGTCTGCCTGTCTCTCAGCCTGGTACTGTCACACGAATGCCATCAACTGGAGTTGGCGTGTGGCACCCGGATTTGAACCCTCGCCCTTAAGCTTGGCAAGTGCGTACCTGTCTGTCTGTCTATTGGCCTGTTTACTTGCATGTCTATCTGCCTGTCTGTCTATTGGCCTGTTTACTTGCATGTCTATCTGTGTAATATCTGTCTGTTTTTAATTTGTCTGCCTATCTCCCAGCCCATCACTCTCACATGAATGAAATCAACTTGAGTTTGACGTGTTGAAGCGGGATTTGAACCCTTACCTTAACCTTGGCAAGTGTTTATGTGTCTGTCTTTTTCTACCCATCTGTTTGTCTGTTTGTCTGTTTGCCTGCTTGTCTGTTTGCCTGCCTGTCCCTCAGTCTGTCACTGTCACAGGAAAGCCCTCAACTGGAGTTTGAATCCTTAACCTTGGCAAGTGTGTGCCTGTCTGTCTGTCTGTCCATCTGTCTGTCTGCTGTCCGTATGTCTGTCAGTCTATATCTGTTTGTGTTTTGACTGTTTGTCTATCAGTCCGTCAATGTCCCAATATCAACTGGAGCGTAATGTCCCAATATTGCCATGAACTGGAGCGTATGAGTCGAAGTGGGATTTGAACCCTCGCCCTTAACCTTGGCTAGTGTGCACCATTCTGTCGGGCTATGAGCCAGTCACTGTCATTCTCGCGCAGGGGCCATGCTAATCTTTTCTCCAGCGTTCCACTCATTTTGGGAAAAGTCATAAAACCTCCCCGTGACGAAACCTTTGTATCCATTTCCCCCCAACCGAGAAAAAAAGTGCCGCAGGTCCCACAATCACTTTTGGTGTCATTTTTGCACCCTGGCTGGGCGGGGAACGGCTGCTGTGTGAAATTGGCGGGAAAGTGTTTTGTAGGGTGCTAAAATGATGCCGAAAGTGGTTTTGGGGTCTGCGGCACCTTTTTCCCCGGGTGGGGGGAAATGGATACAAAGGTTTCGTTGCAGGGAGGTTTTATGGCTTTTCCCAATTATTTTAACCGATGTCCAAGTCGCTGTCACAGTACTATTCTACAGGTAATTGAATTGGTTGGGCTCAAAGAATTAGCCTTAAAAAAAAACAAGAAACAAAAAAGCATTTCAAAAGAAAACAAAAACAAAAACGAAAGCACTACTAGTCGTCAAAACTGTATTGTTGTTCTAGCTTTTTTTGCTTTATGTTTTGACGTTGTTCCAGCTGTTATTGGTTATATCTCATCTGAAGTTATCCAAGCCTCGGTCATCAGCAGGAGCACGGCCACTTTGTCCCCTCAGACTGGCTTTGTTGTCAATTAGACCCCTGCACTGCCTGCAGTGATACCTGGGTGGTAGACATCTCACCCGGGCCATTACCCAACCCCGAGAAAGCACATCTGCCAGGACCCCCTTGAGGGAGGATGAACACCAGGCTAGAGATGGAAGATGTATGGCCACCATCCTCTCCTCTACCACTCAAGGCTGTTGCTTACCCCCAGGAAGCCAGCCCCTGCTATTAGACCCCCTTCCCCATCCCACCTCTGGACCCCCCAAATGAAGACCCTAAGGTAATCTGCACAATCATCCTCTCCACTGTAACCTTGCCAAAACCTCTTCCTTACTTAACCCTTTGCTCAATACTGTCTATCTATGGTAACCACCGTTGGAATTTGGGTTATTCAAAAAGTTAACCTGTCTCTTGTTGTTTCCTCCATTGCAGTAACTATCTTTTGTAGAAAACACTAAACCACAAGCCCTCAGGCATATACATAGCGTGCGAATTATACATTGCCTACGGGCTACATACACAAGTTCCACACATAGTGCTGTCTGGACATCTTCATACATAGATACGCGAAGCGTACACAGCCTTCGGGTAAACACATACATTGCGAACTACACAACTATCAGACTGGGGGGTCTAGTCACTGGGTGGGGTCTAGTATCTGCGGTAGGGACAGGTATGGGCCACCGGAGTTCCTACTGATATTCGGGTAGAACTGTCTAGTGGCTATATATAAGGCTTAGACCCTGGGGTAAGGGTAGGGGTATAAGTTGCTCAGGCCAGTCCGAGTTCCGCCTGGCCTTGGGTAAGCTAGGGGAAGGACGGTAAGACTGCTTCAATGGGTGGTACCCTGTCTGAAACCTAGGGCCCAGAGTCTCTTGGGGCCTGTAGTAGATTGTCTGGGCCTGGCGTCCGAAGTTCCCGTTCGACAAGGCTCGTCCGATTCCGCTTCCACCAGGGCTAGGCAACCTATCAGCCCTGGTGCCTATCACTGCTGTTCGGTCCAAGTTACCTGCCCATTGGTAGGGTAATTGTCCTGAGTGCTGGTCACACTGAGGTAGGATAGTGGGATAGGGGGTGCACTAGGAGTATTGACGTGAGGATATTTGGGAGGTGGTCTCATATTCCAGGATCACCGGACAGTCCGGACCGGTCCAGACACTGGTCCGGAAGACAGTAGTATGTAGTTGAAAACTGTAGGCGGGAGACTGCAGCTCCGGGATGAGAGTCTAGCCCCCCGGACATGCTGGGTGTCATAGTGTGTGTCTGGTACTGCTGGGATGTTTCCCCATACTATGAGCCCGCAGCCTGGGTTACCGTAGGGGGAGTGGAGCCTCACCCAGCCCCTGCTGTCCCCCCAGTAGGTGCCTCGGGTTGCCGGGGAATGGCTGTACTTTTACCCTCTTAGCTCTCTTTCTCTCTGAAACTCATGCTTGCCAGGAATAAGCAACGGGACTGGTGCCCCCCAGAACAGAAGCAGCTTGTGTTGTCTTTAACAAAAACGAAGAAGAAGAAGAAGAAGGAGAAGAAAGTATGTACTGAGTGGGAACTTTGCTATCGCCAGTATTCGATGTGGTCCCCATTCTTCATGTGAGAGTATTTACTGACAAGGGTTACTCACACAATGCCTTCTCCTGATAGAAATGCAGACCGCATAGTAAGCTCTCTAAGTGGGAGTGTTTGGGTCCTGCTCTCCTTTATTTTATATAATTTGTTCCATCATGATAGAAGTACCCCTCTGGGGCCCGCCTAGTCTCTCTTCCAGACCTGCAGGCCTGCCATGCAGGTGTGTCCCTTTGCCGGTCTGTTCCTGAACTTGCAGGCGCTAGCCCCGCCGTCCAGGTTTGTCCCTTGGAGATTGATTCATGCCGATCATCTGGTTTGTTTCGTATTCATATCGCTGCTCGTGTGTTTGTCTGCATCTGCAGTGTCTGTCTGTGGAGAATTCACTAGTACCCCCGAGCCTCTTTTTGCTGAGGTGGAAAAGACCTGCGTTCCAAGCTTTGGCGAAGTACCCATGGCACTGGCAGCCATTTTGGTCCGGTGGCACCCAGCCTCAGAAGAATGCGGTAGAGGTCAGGAGGTTTGAATTTGCCTGTGACATGTAGTGATGGTTTAAATCATCCTCAAAGAACCATCCTGTGGAGCGGATACGGTTCCCCCGCCTTTGATGACTCCGGTCTATTATTAGTGAGAAGTAGCGCTTGTACTGCTGGATTGCAAGCACCATTGATTACGGTAACCCTGTTATCAGGGGATCGACTGCCTGCCCGCCTCACTAAACTGTCCCAGCCTTGTACTGTCACTTCTTCGTGGGACTTTATTCCCGAAGGAACTCTTCCTTATGTCTTGACAACCTGGTTCGCTGTCCGGAAGGAACTCTTCCTTATGTCTTGACAACCTGGTTCGCTGTGCTCCAAGAGTCCCAGTCTCGGCCGTTAGGAGGATGATCCTGTAGGACGTCCATGCCCCTCTGAGTCAGCCCTGCCATCGCCGTTACCTCCTGTCGGTGCAGGGTCCTCTTTAATGTCCATGCCCTTCAGCCCTGGTGAAACAGGGGTTTTGTGGGTGGGGGACCTTTAGGACAGAAACACCAAGAACTGGAAAGTGCCGGAACAGATGTGGGGGAGGCTGCAATACTGCCAGCAGATGGAAACCGCCATGGGGGAACTGATGGAAGCTCTCCCGTTATCCTCACATTCCATTCTTTGGAAGGGGCCCACACTGAAAAATGGTGATTGGATAGCGCAGAAAAAGGACCCAGACTGGGTGGGACTGGCACACATGGTGAAACGCTGAAACCCGACAATGTGCTGGTGGAGCCCTAAAGAGCCCGAACCTCAGCGGGTGGGGGAAACGGTGGGGCCCACTGGCCCTCTATATTTCGCTCTGAGGACTAGATCGCAAGGACCGCTGTCCACAAACGAAGTTACTGTATTGATGTAAGTGGGCCCTGGGCACTGAATCCCACCAGGTGCCAGAACCTCCCAATGGATGGAGCAGCGGCAGCGGACAGCATCCTACACATCTGAGGTCCCCTTGTTTTTCGAAGTCATCGCTTCGCGCGTTTTCATAAAAAAAAAAAAAAAAAAAAGAAAAGGAACTGCCACCTGTTCCTCGATCCAAGGTTACGGTACCCCAATCCTGCGCTTGTGGTCCTCAATCTTTGTGATCTACAGTTTTCAGAACGAAGTATCGAGGCAAGTTTGGAGGGGGCGGAGGAAGTTGGACCTCACTGCCGTGAGGGGCCCAAGCTCGAGGTCACACTTGTGCAGATTTATCTCTATTCCGAATGCTGTACTCCCTTTTTTTCTTTTCTTTTTTTTTTAAAGGCCCTTGTGCAAGACCTCTATCCTAGTCGTGGTAAGAGAACCACCAGGATTGAGGCTTTGCCTAGCGGGCCGCTCCATCGAATGCTGTACTCCCTGTCCCATGACTGCTGATGTTTCCATTTATCGGTGGCCCAGGGGAGCTTCCACCTCCTGGCAGCCCCTGGGCTAGGTCCTATTTGCCCAGATTGTGTGTATCTGGCTGCAAATTGATGCTTGGGATTAATGTTCCAGACTCCAGAGCCAACTGATCATTGACAACAGTTTCCATGTTTTTAGCATAATATTATTTGATTATTTATGGTTCGAACAAGAACCACTGATTCACAAATCGTCTTTCTTTTCTACCGTCCTTTGAGCATCATTTGTACAGCCTCTCATCTTAGGGATGGTGAAATAATCCCAAAGATTCACATGTAAGGCCTCTATCTTAGGGAGGGTGATCATTTGTAAGGACTGGTAGTGGTGTCTGCTCTTATCAGCACCACTAACACTGTAGGGGGCGTGTACAAGGGAAAAAAAAAAAAAAAAAAAAGGAAGCTTATTTGTGATTTTGAGGGCGCCTTTCTATTGGTGGGGAGCTGCACCTGCTGGAAACCGGGTCCAGCGTCTGATTCAAATGGATTTTCACACACACACACACACAGGTGCGTGGACACTTGGCGCTCAACCACACAAATGTGGCCAACCTTGCATTTTCTATTATATTGTCTGTACCTTTTCGTTATGGATGGTTTGCTATGATTTGCGGAGGGAATGGGAGAGTGAATTTGTTTTTTTTTTTAAACACACACACACACACACACACACACACACACACACACACACACACACACACACACACACACCTGTCTCTTATACACATCTAGATGTAGTTTTTTGTGTACTGTAGCTCCGTGAGGTAAAAGGCGGTTGCTTTTTGCTTTTTTTTTTTTTTTTTTTACTCTTTTTGCTTTTTTGGAATTGGTGCTGCTCTCTTCTTGCTTCATCCATTTATTAATGATCGATTTAGAAATAAGCCCCTCATTTGCATTTATCCATTTCGCGTCGGTGCTCATTTCTTGCTCAGTCGGTCGCTCGTTTTCAGCTCTCTCTCGTCGTCGTCTCGTGGAGTGATCGATGGCGGGAGAAGTGACAGAGAGCTCTCATACTGGCGGCCGAGGCAAGGTGCGTGTCGTTGCTCATCAAGCGAGCGAGGGGGAGGAGGAAGGGGGAGGATGCGATAGATCTTCCCTCCCGTAGGAGGCTACACTCGAGAAGGTCCTCGGCTGTCTGTCCTGCCAGACGAATTCTTCCTAGTATGCGCTTGCTGTCATACTCCCCTAGGTGATGAGGAGGATTGGACGGGTAGAATTGGAGATTGGGTGCTATGGAAGGGACTCCGAGGGAGGGTGGGAGAGAGGGATAGTAAAGGGGGGAGAACTTAGACGATAAAGATTGAGGAGGCGAAAGAAAGGAGGCAGCGCTCGTCATCGAGGAGAGGACTGTCCTTCGTTCGATATCATGCGCTTCGCTTCGTCGGGTGACTTTGGTCTGGGTTGAAGTCCAGCTGTGCTTTGTCAGTCCTGGAGCCGAGTCGAGCGGACGCGAGAACCATTGTGTTTGATGGGCGGAGAGGAGGAGGAGGAGGTGGTCGTCGTTGACAGAGAGGAGGAGGTGGTCGTCGTTGACAGCAGGAGTGCATCTGGGCGGGCATCTTCGACTTCCGTCAAGCCTTGTGTGTATGTCGAATCCAAGAGTCAAACGCACAACCTACGACTTGACAGGCAGAGTAACTAATAGTCTAGCCTTGGTCGCCTGGGAATCGAGTTGCGTTTCAGCGGACATATCGGGCTTCCGTCGGGCCTTGTTCGTCTTCGAGCCTGGTTGGGTTCGGTTGCGACGGCCAACGAGAGGAGAATTGAGTGCGGGATTCTGTCTTTGGCACGTGCCAAGCGAAGGGAGAGGGCGTACGCCGTCGAGAGGATGATTGTGCTGGTGCGGAGATCTTCCGCTTCTCCTCTCCATCTGCCATTGGTGGTCATCGAGGGAGCAGGAGGAGGAGGTGATTGCGCTGGACTAAGTGCGAAGATGTTTCGCTTCTCCATCTGCCATTGGTGGTCCACGAGAGAGGAGGAGGAGGAGGAGGAGAAGGAGGAGAAGGAGGAGAAGGAGGAGAAGGAGGAGGAGGAGAAGAAGAGCGGAGGAGGAAGAGGAGGATTGTTCTTGGGATTCATACCTTCGGCTCCGAGAGTTGGCGCTTGTTCTCCAGAGATATGGAACGAGGCTGTTCGGAGTCTGCTCGGACTCTTCAGACCACGTGGGTTGACCTTATCCACACGTGGATCAACCTTATGATCCTTATCCACACGTGGGTCGACCTTATCCGCACGTGATTAACCTTTTTCACAGGTTCATCAACGTTGTCCTCACGTGGGTTGGACTGGAAAGACAGTGGGATTCGCTGGTGTGTAAAGGCGTGCTCACCTAAGGTGAGCAGAGCTTTGAATTGATTATTGCAATGCTTGCTTTGACAGGGAAGGAGGCCTAGGCTCAGTAGGCTGAAGCGTTAACTCGGGAACAACATAATCGCGACTGTCTGTATTCACAAGAGTTTGTTTCTCAACATAGCTGACGCGAAATCAACACCACAAACAGGGCTTTAGCATTAGGCGAGGGCCATGGGGAAGTGATTGAACGACCAGAAACAAGGCTATGGCATCAAGCCAGGGCCATTGATAGGTGAGAAATCACTGCTCAAGCGATTTCAAGTCCTTGTCTTTCTCCTTCTCCCAGGTCGGAGAACATTTTTGACTTTTTGGCTCCTTATCTGCCATTCTCATCCGGGAAAAGGGTAGTGAAGCCTCAGTCCCCTCGCTAGCGTCCTCTTTCTTCCTCACCATCGTAGTTCGTCTCAACTCTCGCGAGAAGAGAGAGACGGGGTGGTAGTTGTACAATACTTCAAATTTCTGTTCTCAGATCTGTAGCTTATTCTGCTGCCTCTCTGTGTGCGTGTGTGCGCGTGCGTGTGTGTGTGTGTGTGTGTGTGTGTGTGTGTGTGTGTGTGAGAGAGAGAGAGAGAGAGAGAGAGAGAGAGAGAGANGAGAGAGAGAGAGAGAGAGAGAGAGAGAGAGAGAGAGAGAGAGAGAGAGAGAGAGAGAGAGAGAGAGAGAGAGAGAGAGAGAGAGTTTCTACTACTAATCTGTATATGCTGCCTACAGATCTGATCATCATCCTAGGTATGTGAACACATCAGGGGAACTTGAAACAGAATGCCATAGAGGATATGTTGCACTGACACAGACCAGTCTTTAACTTCTATTATACAGTCTGGCCACCTGGATTCTCTCAGTATATACCCTCTTCATCACCGCAATTTTATCCCTTGGTGGTCAGTCTCCACAGCCACAGGCTACCATCCCTCCTTTCCAAAGATCCCCATTGCACTGATGGTTCTCATTCCCTCCTTGCTGCCCCCTCACCCTTGCACATACTGATTTGGAAATTCTACGGTTCATCACTGGCAATCTACCGAGGCTCGTAGATCTTCCCTCTGTACAAGAAGAGCCCACACTGCCAAGGCGCTGACCCGAAAATGATAGGGTCTCTGATTTATTTGCCCAGCTATTCTATTTGCCTGGGGGTACCACCAATACTTCACCCAGCTATTGGCCGAAGGAAAAAAATAGAGTAGAAATGTTTCTAGTCGAATGAATTTGGGCACTCTTGTAGTGGCCTGTACGTTTACTAAAATTGTGGCTTGTATACAGGCACTGCTTTAGGAAGTACTGGTGGTTTAATATTAGCCACAACTTTGGATCCAGGCTACCCGACCAAAGTGGCTGGACCGCCAGCCAAAATGAAAAGAGATTGTGCCCACACCAGTTTGTTTTTCATTTGGCATGCAGCAAGAGCAGCCTCATGACGGACGCTGGACCCGATTTCCAGCAGGTGAAGCTCCCCAGCAATAGATGGAGCCCCCCGAAAGTGCTAGCGGTGTCTGCTCATATCAGCACCCCTAGCATTGAAGCGGGTTGTTTCTGGAAAAAAAAGAAGAGCAGCCTCAAGAAAAAGAGGATTGAACATAGTGGTAGTCTAGCAACAGAATTAAGTGAAAGACATCAAACATACTGGTATGGATTGCTTTTTTTGGATCTTTTGCAGTGAAAGTACCTACAGGACCAGGTCATGTTGGATTGGCACCTGAGGTCCACAGGTTTTGAATACGGACCCATCCTAAACGTAAACACCTGGCCTCCATTTGCACCTATCAAGGCATACTGTCAGCCATTAACTGCTGCAATCCATGTTAGCAGGACATCACCGGTGAGCACCCTGGAGCTAGTGTCCCACTAGAGTCCCATTGGATGCAAGTTTTAAGAAAACATAACTTTTTTTTTTTTTTTTTTTTTTTTCAGCTGCATTTTCATGAATGGACAAAGGTCGACCCTAGTGACCCTTTCGCCCAGCCCAGGAATTTGCAGATCCCTTCCCCCTTCACCCTTTGTCCCTGGTGGAAATGTTCCCAAGAATCCCAAGTACCTAAGCAGTGCCATTTGGCACCGTCTGCAGTGATCTACAGTGAATCTGAGCATCTCCCAGAAATCTGAAGTTTTTTGACGAGAACGCAGCAATTAGGACCGGGCGAGTAAATGGAAGGAGGTCTCCATTGGTGCCCCCCAGTGGCTCCTTCCATTTTCCTGAGTCTGGCAGTATGACAGAGGAAGGGCTGGATGCTGGCCCTGGTTTCCAGCAACAGGGTCCTTCCCGGGCTGTCGCATAATCTTGTTTTTCCGAATCTTGCAATCAGACTCGCTTTCTTTTCCACTTGAAGTCCGCAACATGCAAACAAATGGCGATTCACACTGGCGCACAGCGCCCACTCAAAACTCAGAGATATGGGAATCGAAAACACAGTTTGGATGCAAACTCTCTTCAACAGGCTATGGTACATCAGCGCCTGAATATCCCAACCTCCGACACTGTTCCCAACACCACTGTTCGCACACACTTCTCTGGATCACCCTGAATACTCCCACACGTACTCACTGTATTACACACTCATGCACGCTCGCTAACTCCTAACACTACAGCGGCTATGGCCGCTCAGCTTCTACTCACTATGGCTACGCTATCTTCTCTCAGCCCACTTCAATTTCGGGCGCTTCTGCAGACCACCTCACACAGGACGCTGAAGCAGCGCTTCCGCATGGCTTACGCAGCGAATGAATGAATGGCTGGGCGCTGCCTCTTGATTTATACTTCAGAATCTCAAAGTCGTTGGTCTGCCCCTTTTCCACCGGGATCTGCATCTGCCTCTGCAAGGTGAAAACCGTTTCACTCCCGCCGGCCTAAATTCGAGGTCCTCCGAGAAACTTTAGTCCAATGCAGGACCTTTACCCTTCTTATCTCTCTCATAGGCTCGAACTACATCGGGAGCTGTCTCAAGAAGTTCTGCTCGGGTAAACCAGCGGTTGTCCTCTCATTCCTGGAAAGCGAACCTGACTTTATACTGTTTCTGTGGACGACCTCTACCTCCTGTTCTGAATACACCTTCACCTACAATGCCCTCGATGTCATACCTTCCGTCCATGTCCGGAGGGATCATGGATCTCCGTGATGGAAACTGTTAATTTGTGACACAAGGCAACAACTTTGAGGCATGGAATCATGGGTAGGTGTGGAGGTGTGCTGGAATCTCAATGGTATAGGACGGTCCATCCTTTCCGTCCTTGACTTCTAAGACTGGCCACGGTCCTCTATACGCGGGCAGTAGCTTCTGTGAGATGTTTTCCTCAGGAGCAAACTCTTTTGACTTGACCCAGACTAAGTCACCTACTTGAAACTGCGAGGGGCGACAGTGCTTGTTAGCTTGCTCTATCATTCTGTGATGGGCTTTCCTGAGGTTATCAACAACGATAGCTATCTCTTTCTCGTGCTGTATCGCAAGCTCTCGTGTACCGGGCGGAAGTTTTTGAATCTGGTCCCGTTTTAGTCCCTCAAACGGTCTACGCGGTCTAAAGGACTTGTGCAGTTCGCTGGGAGTGCGGCACGTGGCTAGGTGCACACTGTCATTGTATGCACTGGCTACCTTTGGGAGCATCTCATCCCAGTTGATCTGATCGGGCCTAATGTACATTCTGAGAACTTGTTGCAGGAGCTTGTTCACCTGTTCAGTCTGACCGTTAGTCTCAGGATGACGGCCATATGACATCAATAACTTTGAGTCATAAACTCTCATCAGTTCCTGTCAGTTCTGACTGGTGAACCTGGTATCTCTGTCACTAACTATCGACAGCGGTATATTATGCTCAATGACCCAATGGTCAAAGAACCTCTAGACTACTAAATATGTGAGTGCCTCTGCACGCAAAGGGATAAAAACTGCATACTTACTAAACCTATCAACTATGACCATGACTTGACTTTTGCCATGCCTACTCTTGACCCCAGCATCCATAGAGTCAATAAACACAGAATCTTCGGGTCTATCAGGAATAGGCACGGGCCTGAGAAGACCAAGAGGGGCTCGCGTAGTGGTCTTGGTTCTCTGACAGACTTTGCAACTGCGGACGTACTCTATGTAGTCGGCCTTCATACCAGGCCATATATACGCGGGCATGAGGTTGGCTAATGTCTTCTGCCAACCATAGTGTCCCTTTGTGTCATGACATTCCCCTAAGATCAAACTACGGATCTCCTCACTATTACGAACGCACAAACGGTCAACTACATTAGTCTTCTCAAATAGCAATCCATCAGTAGTGCGTTAGTCTGGTTCAGACTCTAGTGCCTCCCTAACTCTCTTGAGGAGGTCGCTATAGATAGGATCCTGCGCATATGCTTCTCTAACCTTTTGCTGCAGGTCTCTCCCTATATCCAGATAGTGAACTATCGCTCGAAAGTAATCAGGGCTCCTACTTAGAGCGTCCGCAACTACGTTATACTTCCCTTTTACTGGCTTAAGTTCAAAGTCATACTGATCTAACTCTGCGGCCCACCTAGTAAGCTTAGGTGTCATCTTGGCTTGTGTCTTCAACTACCTTAGAGTCTCGTGGTCTGGATAGACTTTGAAGTGCCTCCCCAGCAAGTAGTGCTTCCAATGATCTCGTGCTTGCCTGAGAGCGTAGAGTTCTCTCTCATAGGTTGATGTCAGTACCTTCTTTGAAGGCATCTTGGCATTCATGAACTCTACGGGCCTATATCCATTGTCGTCGTCTTTCTGTAAGACAACACCTATACCATACTGACTTGCGTCAGTGGTAACAACGAAAAGCAGGGATGGATCGACTACCTTAAGGACTGGATACTCTATCAAAGTTCGCTTCAATCTCTTCAGGGCAGATATATAATTCCTGTCCCACTTCCAGATTGCTTTTTTCTTTAGCAACCTACGAAGGGGTGCAGCGATGGTGGAGAAGTTTCTGACAAACTTCCTATAATAGTTAGCTAGGCCTACGAACAACCGCAATTCTGTCAGTGTGCGGGGCGTTGGTCAATCTTTAATCATTGCGATTTTGTTGTCCTCAGGTTTTGGGAGCGCTGTCGGGGGCTGGGTGCCGCAACAGGCTTGCGGGCCCTCGTCCGCGGTCGCTAACTGAGAACTCACCGTCCTCGGTCAGCAGCATCACGGTGGCGATGGTGTCGCCCGATGGACAGCGTTAGGTCTAGAGGTTGAATGAGGAGGTGTCTCCAATTGAGAACAGGTGGAGCAGCTATGTTGTGACAGGATCTCCATTGTTTTTTTTTCTTGAATACTGACTCTACTGAAGAGCTCTTTTAAAAAACGATGGCGGAGTAACCTCATAGGAGCGATGCTCCGAGGTCGGTCGTCACATCACTGTCGGAGGTTGGTCGTCGCAACAGGTGAGGGCCCTCGTCTGCGATTGTGGCGATAGTGTAGCCTGAAGGTTAATTGACGAAGTGCCTCCATATGCGAGCGGGAGAAACCATGGTTTGGATAGTTTTGTGTCATCAACTATATGATTGCTCGCTCTACTAGTGTGCTCTCTTCTTTGTAGGGAGTGACCGTGGTTGGATAGTGAGTTGACATTTCGAGAATCGACTTTTATGAAAAATCAAGGGTGGGGTGGTTTCGTTGTGAAAGCAAGAACATCCCGACTATTGGCTGAAAGATTTCGTGAAATCAAGATTCATGGCCCAAAGGGTCTTCTGAACTATCACTGCAAAATTGTCTGAAGGAATCCATATGAACGCAACGG